GCAGGAATGTCACAGTGGCAAAGAGGTCATCAAAGGCTAAACAATATATGAAAAAACAAACTTAGTCCAATTCACAGAGGAAGGAGACAGATAACTATCACAGCCCATTTTTTCTCACCATTTGAATCATACAACACATCAGCCCCCAGAATAATTGTCGGCTGTAAAGTGAATATGGACGAATCCCAAACTCCCCATTTCAATCCCAACACCTACAAGAAGGCAAAAAATTCAGATACCAGAAACAACATGATAAAATTTCAATGTGTACATAAACAAGCTTTTGTTGGCACAATGCCCCTATTCACCACCTTCTAGGAAATCCATGCTACAAACATGGTACTGTCATAATATTCTTCTAAAACATTAACACATTCAACCATGCACATTATTAACACAAGCTTCGTTATCTGGAATATGTTGAAACAGTTACTATAATGATAGCTTACATTGCACTCAAGTTTGTTCAAGTCACAAACTCTTCTCATATTGTCAAGCACCTGCACATCCAAAACAAGAAGCAGTCGCCCGATAGATCCGTTAACTTTCAGAATCCGACCATTAATTAAATCATAAGCCTATACCAATCATATAAGAATAAAATTAATAAACACCAATGAGTCATATTGACAATCATTTTAATTTTAATTTTTTTAAAATCATGTGTATTCTCTACGAGAGACAATTTTATACTATGGTCTACAATAAGTCCATTTGAAAGCTTTATAAAAATATATTAAGAGTCTGTTTGAATATAAATTATAAATGTTTTCGAGAGTATTTTTTCAGTAAAGAAATCCTCAAAAACACTTTGTTTTTAGGTTTATATCGAAACAAGTTCTAAAATAATAATAATAATAATAACAATAATAATAATTGGATGGTAATGTGTAAATCACTTTTTTGATCATGAATGAGTAAATCACCTTATTGTCACATCTGACATTAAGTAAATTTCAAATAAGTCCTTGAATTTAATCACCTTGTGACATTTTGATCCTTAAACATATATTAATATTATCACTCAAGTCACAAGCATTTTTTAATTTTGCACTAATTTGATTGATAAATTGCATTTTGAAAGGCTTTTTTTTTTCCCCGAATTTTCTTAGTTTGAGAAACTAATGTAACAACGCTATACACTTCTAGGAACGAAAATGATCTTTTACCCTAATGTTAATACCTCTAATCTGGTGGAGTCATCTGTAAGAGTGACACGGGCACCGAGTTTTGATGCAACCAAGCCAGGCAAGGAAGTTCCGGCACCTAGCTGCGTGAACAATATAAGAAAAAGAAGGAGAATAAAAGAGAAAAGTGTTCATAACAGGCGAATTTGAAATAAGAGGTACCTAGCTCAACAACGGTGGCTCCGGAAAATCGATGCCTGTGTTGCCAAACGTACTCAGCGAGAACGACGCTGCAGGGCCACACGAAGAGGCCATAGTCTTCCTTCATGTTCTGCGGTGAAGACACGGAAACAGCAGAAAAAGCATTAGTAGTTAGTTGATTGGGAAATTCAGGGTTGGGAAGAGAGAACAACCTCGATGATGGAGATGGAGAAGGTTGGGCCTTCGGTGTCTTCGCCGAAACAGTGCTGAGAAACGGTGGTCATGGTGGTGAGGGTGTCATCACTCATCACGCTGTTCATTATCACACTCTTTTTCTTCCATGCCTCCAACGGAACATCTAGCATAGGTGCAGGAGAGAAAAAAAATTGGGTGTAAGAAGCATTTGCCGGGATAGAAGAAGAGGAAGGCCCGGAAGCAGAAAAGGGCCCAGGTCCAGGTCCAGGCCCAGAAGAGTGGTTATGATGGGGCAGGAAGGAAAGAAACCTGATCAACCTTGCTTCTTTGCAAGTAGGCAAGCAACTTCATGAATACATTCTGAAAAGTGGTTACATGAATGATTTATTTGTCAGATTGCCATGCATGCAAAATGTGGAAGGGTACCAAATGCCGAACAAGTGTTCAGTGATATTCAATATGTTGATTTCGGGTTATGCTTTGAATGGATATGCAAATGAGCTAGGCATTTAAGGCCTTTGGAGTTTGGACATTTTAGTATTGGAGGTACCCACAGCCTGGCCACACCTTGATAGCTTTAAAATTTAAATTAAGAATGAATATGAAATAAAATTGTGTATTATTCATGTTATACTAAAAGGATTATATATATCTTATTCTGATTAAAGATCTATAATTAATTTTGTAACTAATATTTTAAATATTTATTAAAAAAATATTATATGAGCTAAATATGTTATTCTTAATTATATAAAGATATAATTGAGATATAGATTGTTTGTTGTTAAGATACAGTTGAGAATTATCACAATAGAATTACAATGAAAAGGTAAATTGAATTCCTAATGCATTGTTTGGTAATTTCCTACATTAAATATTTAATGAAATGTTATGGTGGAATGTGGATGAACATACACCAGTGTTTGACCGTAATTTAAATATTCTTATGTAGTCCATCTAACCTACATTACAAGTTAATATCTGTATTACTCTTGTAGACCTGGTAATCTTAATATATATTATTATTGCAAAGAGTGTATATAAAATGGTTATTTCAATTAACTTATGAAAATAAGTTAACTTATAAATTGTTATTTTTTTATTTTACTTTCATTAATTATGAATAGTTAAATTGTTTTTTTTTATGTTATTTTATATTTATCAACTAATTTTACTAAACATTTTTAATTCAATTAATTAGTTTATAAATTTTAAAAGTATTAGGAAAGGAAGAATACTCAATATTCATAAAGAGTATAGGCCTATGAAATGGATCCTCTAGGGTGTCTTTCTCAATCTTCCTAGTCATGAGCTCAGTCAAAGATCCAATGGTCTTTATGGATATGGTTCTCCATCACAACTCATCACTATTAAAAACACCACGACATATATCAACTTACAATTCATCAATAACACCATTACATCACAACAATATATCTTACAACATCACAATAATCTCAACACAAATAATTTTGAACAACTAATGTGTCTTCCTCTATATCAATTAAAGAGATCTCCTACAACACAAGATGGACAATTTAATTAAGTGGTTAAACCTTATTGAACCACAACGTGTGACTTATCTAACAAGATCAACTAATAACTCAATTTGATTTCTCAAGTTTGTCACTTAAACTAAAAGGTTTAATACTATTGTTGCCTACTACGACATTAGCTTGCATCACTAAGCCACCTATGAAATTAGTCCACCAACTATCCTTTAAGCATTATGCCCCTCCAATACTTGGTTGGGGACTAAGTCCTTTACTTCATACTTTACTCAGTTGGACATTTTATACATGTATGTCTCGAATTTATCCACATACGAATACCACAAAAATCCTAGAGAAGACAACACAATAACTTATCATTTAGAAGTCAACTTACTTATTAAAGGTTTTTCAACAAATGGGCTCACATAACACCACATCTCATATCCACACAATGAGATATTTAGTTTTCGAAATCATCACTTACTCTCCTCTAGTCCTTATGTATCTTAAATAGGGCATGTATCTCAATCACATGCAAAACATATTAACAACTTAACAACCTAAACAACTCAATCATTTATGAGCTCACAACTTACAACACATAGGTTCTCTATCATACAACATCATTCATACAACTTATTCATTATCATTCAATCATAAAATAAATTAAAACAATGATTTTTCATCATGCAACTCATGCTCAATGTCACTAAGAGGATGTCGGGCGCCATTAAGGTAAGGGGCTCCCTGTCTCGCCCACACCTGACGCTAAACTACCTACACTCGATGTGATTGAGATAGAGACTCTCCCACCCTCTTATGCCTAGCATAGGAAAACTCACGCTCAACCCCAATCAGCCAGAGGGCCTATGCCTAACTCACACCTGACACAACTATGCTAGTACCCAACATAGATCTAGGCAGAAACAAGTCTTTCTCCTTACATCGAGTGTCATTCAACCTATACTTGGTGTGATTCCAACTTGAGACGATTCTCTCTCCTCATGCTCGATGCCACCAATCATGCACTCGAAACAATTCCCGCAACATGCATTGCACTAAACAAACACTTATACACCATGTACACTACAAATTCACCATCAAAACAACATACGACCATAGAATCACCCAAAATCACCAAACACTCATAAGTATCCTCATGAACCCAAAAAATTACGAGATCTAATACTCATCTGCATCCAATCAATCATAACAGCCAACATTAGTGTCATTACAATATATTTTCAACATGCAATTCAATAGAAGACACAAAAACTTCCCTTGTCTCTTGTAAACTCAAAACTCGCAAGAGAAAAAGAGGAAGAAGCAACTTTGTGCGAACCTTACCTTGAAAACTTTCGCCCCATAAGCTTAAATTTTAGCTACTAGAGGTAGGAAATGAAGGTTTTTTTTAAGGATTTAAAGAAGAAAATAATTTGGGTTCACTAACTTTTCTTTGAAGTTTTGTTTTTTTTTAAACTTAAGTTATAAAGTCTTGCTTTAAAAAATTTCCTTTTATACTTTTTCTAAGCTAACTCCATTTGTCTATGGTTTTCAACTACTCAAAGATTAACTTACTTTAACGGTCTCACGGCTCCAAAGCTCTTGACAACGTCTGCTAATTAAATAACAAAAGTTATGAAATTGATAGTGTTGCAATTCTCTCCAGCAATAGAAATTTTCATCATAAAAAATCAACTTACTTGAGAAGAAAATGGGTATTAATCTCTCATCTTGTCTTTCAGCTCCCATGTAACCTTACTGGTGACCTCATTCCTATTAACTTTGACAAAATGGATGATTTTGCCCCTCAACTGGTTGTTCTTACGATCCACAATTACTAGTAGTTACTTCTCATAAGTCAAATTCTCCTTCACCTGAATCACATTATATATGCTCCACCACATGACTTGTTTCATGAATGTACTTTCTCAACTATGATACATGGAACATGTCGTGTAGGTTAGACAAAAATGATGGTAAATCCAACTGATATGCCACTAGACCCACATGAAAAAGAATCAGATAAGGCCTAATGAATCTTGATGTCAACTTCTTAGACTTCATTACCCTTTCCACCTCAGTAGTGGGTGTCACCCTAAGAAATACACACTCTCCCTCCTTAAACTCCAAGGGCTCCTATCTCTTATCAACATATGGTTTATGCCTACTATAAGTAGTCCTTATTTTCTCCAAAATCTGTTTCACTTTAGTGGGAGAGTGTCACCCCAATAACCCTCATTCTCTCCAAAATCCTATGTAGAGTAAAATAATATCTCTTAAAATTTAAATACTATTTTTAAATTTTAAATTTGAAAATTTGAATTATTTTTCTAACAAATTTATTGAAACCGATGGTTAAATTTTTTTAATGATATTTCATGTGTATCCTCTTTAGGAAAGAATCACATTCAAGACAAAATCAAACACTAACTGTAATTATCTTTCTCGGCAAATATTAAAATTTTGGTTCATCACATTGTGACGTACTAGTTCCTTCCGTCATAATTAACTTAATTGGTATATGTTAGTTTAATTTGATATGATTTTCCAAATTTAATAACTATTAAATAATGTGATTTTTTTTAAAATAGTAAAATAATCATGAAACTTTTTGATATTTATAAAATTTAGCCACTTGTATAAAATAAAATGTCGTTGATTCACAGCTTACTTCATGTATCCTCTGTAATTAAAGTGGAAGCAACTTCCAAAAACCATGTACACGTCAACATTTTTGCGATATTCGAAAGGCGGTTTGTTAGGTTTGTGTGCCCATCGCCCAGTCCACCCATCATCAGGTTAACATATTTTTGGTCTTCTTCGATTATTTTATGGGGACCACATTCAACAATTAAAAACTTGAAAATAAGAAAAGGATACCAGATTCCAAATGACAAAACTAGTGAATTTACAGTAATCAACTGCGAAACTTGTCACTTTTTTATTATATTTTTTTTAATGAGTTAATCACATGTACATTTTTGGTGTAAGATTTTTTACACTGACAACTAATTATATCTTTTAATTGTGTCATGTAATCGTAAACAAATTTGTTTTTTAACGGTAACATGACACAACTAAAAAATATAATTGGTTGCCAATGTAAAAAAACTGAATTTGAATCCTCTCTTATAATATTCTTTCTTCAGTCTCTCTCTAGCAACACTAATAATCATAAGATATATTTAATAGCTCAAAATTAATCTTATAAAAATAATTTAAGAAGTTAAGTTAATTATAAAATTAACTTTAAACCATTAAATATATCTAATAGTTATTAGTATTGCTAAAAAGAGGCTGGAAAAAAAATATTATAAAAGAAGATCTAAATTCAAAAAAACTTTATACTCATAATGTATAAAAGTAATTAACTTTTTTTTTTATTTACATTATTTATTATAGCATATAAAATCATATTCATATAAAAACAATTCTTTGATTTAATTGCACATTACTCGGAAGCTGTGACTATACTACCATGTTATTTCGGTTTACTTTTTCTTTGGACTAAAGCTACGTGGAAAATGCAAGCACCTTTTTCTCGGTAAAGGAAAAGCCGACCACACATGATAATTAGTTTTAAGAGTTAATTAAATAATTAGTTTGTTAAATGGTTCGTGTAGGCATATTTGTATAATACAGTAAATTGTATAATTATAATTACAGTGTACAATTAGTTTTGGATAGAAAAGAAAGCAGTGGGAAGAGTAAGGGTAGTGACAGTAACTAGGGTAGTGGCTACCCGCAACAGCAAAAGTCGCAACGGAAAGAGAATGGAAATAACGCGGGGGTATTTGGGGAATTTCGCGCGTGGCAGAAGAAGAAAACTTGGCATCCTAAGCATTGCACAATAATCTTTCGTCTGAAACGCATTCTTTCCTCTCACGCACACAAAGGAACTAAGGTTCTTCCCTGCGATTAGATCGCACAAATTTTGGAACCCTAATCTACTGCATTTCATTCTGGACCTTCCTACAAATCGCAAGCAATACACTGCGAGAATCGAATCCTCTCCGCAACGTCGATCATCTCATCGACAGAGTCATTAACCCTAAGCAATTTGTATGGCCATGACTGGTAACCATTCTCCTCGTCATTCCTCCGATAACCTCCAATCGCGCCGCGCTGCGCGCCTCCATGCTTCTCCGCCATGGAACCAGGTTGTCCGTGGCGAATCGGACTCCGTTGCGGCGGCTCCGTCGCAGTTGACGGAGGATTTTCCCTCTGCTGCTGCGCCGGTGGATGATTTTAGCTCTGCCTCGGCGGAGAGCTCCGACAATGGCGCTGGGAAGAGGCCTGTTTGGAACAAGCCTTCTCCGAATGGCGCGACCGCCGCGGAGGTTCGGCCGGTGATGGACGCGCTCTCTTGGCCGGCGTTGTCTGAGTCGACGAGAGCTGCTATGAAATCGGAATCGTCATCGTCGAAGGGATTGTTGGATGGATCTTCTCTGCCACAATTGCAGGTTTGTTTCTTTCGCTATACGCTCTATTGTTTTAGTTATCATAATAATTAATAACTAATAATTTCTGCAATTTATGTGTTCCAAGTTTTATTCAGTTGGAACTAGTTATCTTTGTTGCATTGTTGAATTGATTTTTCATGTGTTCTCAATAGTGTTAAGTGGCTTGTGGCTTGACTATATAAACTGCGCAGGTAACTTTTACTTATTCATTATACTAACATACAGACAAGGAGTGGTATAGCTGGTTTCTGTCACATTTTGGATAATGCATGTATTTAGTATTTACCTGCTGTAGTATCTAGAATGTGGAAACCGGTATCAGATTAAGTTGCTGTGTATTATTAGCAACTGGATCCTTTGTGAAATATATGTTACTTTAATTTAATTTTAATTTTCTGGCATTTGTTTCTATTATTTTTGTATATGTGCATGGATGTTGCTATTGTTTTAAGTGCTGATTGTAGGGTTTGGGAAGTGCATCTTCTTCTTCCTCTTCACAGAGGGAAGTCAGTGATAATGCAAGCACCAACAGTGTGGTGCCAGCTCGCCAGAAATCAATGAAACATCACAGTTCAAATGCATCTTCTAATGGTGGCCACCCACAACAGTCTGTGGCTGCGCCCCAGGTCTCAATAGCTGCAACTGGGTCTCATAATTCCTCTCCGAAGGACCACACACAAAGAAGTGGATTTGGGTCTAATGATCATCCACAACAGCGTAATTCATTTAGAAATCGTAATGGCGGTCCACACCAGCGTGGAGATGGTTCTCACCATCATAACTATGGGAATAGGCGCGATCAGGACTGGAATAACAATCGAAGTTTCAGTGGTAGAGATACACATGTGTCACCAAGAGCTGTTCCCAGATTTATCCGTCCACCTCCACCTCCGCCTCCTAATTCTGCTCAATTTTTTCACCCATCACCAATACGGCCTTTTGGTGGCCACATAGGATTCCATGGTATGATGTATTAATTTCATGATGATTTGTTTCAGGATATGAATATGCTCTGATGACTCTATTCATTTCCAGAACTAGCTACTCCTCTGGTATTTGTTGCAGCTCCACCTCCACCCCCAGATTCACTAAGGGGTGTTCCTTTTGGGCCTCCTATTCCACATCATCCCATGTTCTTTGCAGGTCCAGACCCTCAGTTGCACAGTAAGATAGTCAACCAGATTGACTACTATTTTAGGTACTGCTCTTACTTTAGTCTGTCAGTATTTTGTTTTTGTTATTTTCTTCATTCTAGTCTTTAATGGATTTAGAAAGTTGACTGTAGACATGCCACAACTTGTCTGTTGCAGTAATGAGAATTTAATTAAAGATACATTCTTGCGCCAGAACATGGATGACCAGGGCTGGGTTCCCATAAAATTAATTGCAGGCTTCAACAAAGTGAGTAGTTTGGGATATATGATATAATTGCTTATATATATGTGTTTGTGAGGGAGAAAGATGGATTGCTTTGTGGTTTTCATAGCTGACTTAGAAAATGTGTTTCAAAAATTACATAAATAAATAATCTACTGACAGTGTTGAAGGATTAAATTTTATTTCATCTGCATTTTGCTGGATTGACTGATTTGGTTGTTTCTTGGCAAGGATTTGATCATGACTGATGCATGTGAAGTGCTTTAATTTTGTTGCTCTTTCGATAAAATCATGGGATGACAAATTTTGGTAGTGTGTATTTTTTCCCTATGGTTGCACAGATTGTACCATTACAGTAGAAAATATGTTAAAGAGTGGGAAAAAACTTGGCTCATTAAGATCAAGTTTTTGCTTTGAAATCATCAAAGTAGCCTTAAGGTACACCTTTCTAGTTTTAATTTTCTGATAGTTAGTCCTTCTAGTTGTGGGGGATTCAAGTTTTGGCGTCGGATTTCTCTTCAATCCCACTCAATTTTTCTTCAATATGCAGTAATGCAGTTCTGTTCAAGGGATATGGACTCATGTTTTGGTCAATTATGTTGTGTGTTACTAAATTAAACTTGGAAAAAAAAGAAGTTATTGTAGTGTCTTGAGGGAAAATTTATAGCATTTAGACAACACTTGTTTAAAAGGGTAAGCAAGGTTCTAATTAAATAAATAAGACTTTTTTTTGTTGTTGCATAATCCAAGTCTTTTTTAGTCATCACTATGATGAAATGGTCAGATATCATGTAGTTGGTATCATGTGTTGACATGGAAATTGTTTGCTTGTGTTGGTTCTCTTCACATAAAAAGGACAATACAATTGAAAACATGGGTTTGAATGTTTGATAATCAAATGTAGGTTATACATGAATATATGTGTAATACATTAAAAAGAACATGAATTTTAAATCCAAGAGAACAAAAAAAGAACCAAACTATGCTCATTATTTTTTCTTCTTACATGTGAGATGTCTCATAGTTGGTATCATATGTTGACGCAAAAGTTGATTGCTTGTGTTGGTTCTCTTTACTTAAAAAGGACAATACGGACAAAAGCATGGGTTTGATGATCAAATTTAGGTTATACATTAGTACATGCACCAATATTATGATGAAAAATAATAGAGCTAAGTTTATTTTTTTCCCCACTGTTTTTATTTCTTCTCTTTGGTTTATCTCTCAACTAATTGAGTGGCATATTTAATGGATATAATTGCTGTCATGCATGTGATGTAATGGTTTGTTATTCATAGTTCAATCTATTTTTGGTCTAGACTTGTTTGCTTTTTGGCTTAACTTGAAACATCTAACACTAATGTGTACAGAAGTTGATGTTACTAATATATCCAGATTCTTAATTATGACTGAAAGGTGAAATGGCAATGGATTTTTGAATGTGTATGATCGTTTTGGGCATGGTTCCTACATTATTCTCCAGTTTTAGTACATTGTAATGTTCACTATTATAGTTTTGCAGTTCTTAAATTATCATGATAAACTTCCTACATTAGTCTTAGTACGTTCTAATGTTCACTTGTTTTGCAGTACACTGTAATTCCTAAATTATGCAGTCATTTGGAAACTTGTGCTATTTGGCTTGTAGCATTATTTGTTAGCCAATGATGAATTTTTTTGTCTGTCAGGTTATGCATTTGACTGACAATATCCAGATTATATTAGATGCTGTTCGAACTTCATCTGTTGTTGAAGTGCAGGTATTTTTTTTATTAATCTTGCTATGGAGATTTGAGTTTATGAATTTGAATATTGACATGATTTCATTGGAGTATTTAGGAAAAGTTTACTCTCATTTTTTCTTTTTTCTATCAATTTATTAAACCTCTTGTTTTAAATTTATATGCATTTCTAGGTTGACAAAATAAGGAGACGAAATGATTGGAGGAGATGGGTCATGGCTCCTCCTATTCAGTTTTCTAATGCCACAACCCTTGGAGTGTTGAATCCTGACATGCTGGCAGAACAAATGCACAATATTGCTCTGGAGACAAGTAACTTCGATGGTGCAGGAGGACTAGATCCTCTATCTGATACTTCACAACATAGTTCTACATTTGGGGATTTGAGTAATCCATTGCAGCACTCCACTAGCGAGGGTACTGGATAAGTTGGTATTCATGGCTAAGATCACTCTATTTCAGCAAGAAATTAAAGCTGCAGATTTGCTTTAGCAATTTGTTTTTTTTTGGAGAGCTCTTAAAAGGGACACGGGAAGCAGGTATCTAAGAATGGTCTCACTTAATGGGAAATGATTTCTCTCGAGGCATATTTAGGAAAAACATATTGAGAAACGGAAGGAAAAATACCCTCTCACCAAAAGTACAGAAAAAGGCATTTTTTTATTTTAAATTTTATGTTTATTTTCGGTTGTGGAGCTAGTAGCACGACTCTTGGGAATACTCTTTTTATGGGTATAATGTTCTCACTCTTAAGAAGAATGATTTGCTTCAATATGGGGGAATTTTGTCTCTGTTTCTACAGTGCCCCTAAGTTGTTTTTTAAAATCTTTGGGGTCAGCTACCCACCAGTTTTAGGAGCATAAATGTTAGTTCATGGGTGTTGAATGTGTTTGATAGTAGCTACCTGCTGCCACCGAGGGAAGAGCAAACATAGCTTTCTGCCGCTGAAGCTTTGTCCCACTTCTTTAAAGTGTGATTGCTTGATGTCACTTGCTGTGACATTGATATTTATATTTTGGTCTGTTTAAACTCGCGAAAATTCCCTAGACAATCCATAAGTGGTCCCAGTGGGGTCATTAAGACTTTAATTATACAGGTTACAGCTGTATAAGGTGGATATTCCTGTCTATTTAGGCCTGAACTTGCATGGAATCAGAACCTTTATTTCATTATTTCATGACGCCGCCTTTTCATTTTTCCCTTTAATATCTCGTGTTCATGTGATTAGTTTATTATGACGTTTGGTGTTATGGGCATGATCAATTTTATTCAACATGCTGTTAATTTTGTCTATTTCGTATCGTTTTTTTTTTTAATTTTTATATTTATTAACAATTTCAATTTAATTATAAATATTAGTAAGTGCATGAAGTAGTTTGTTTCAAAAGACCTTATCACAAACACGTTTTAAATACTTACCTACTTGGTTTTTAAATGTAGAATAAATATATTTTTGATGCACTGTATAGAAGGATCTCATTATGAACATATAAATAACTTTTTATACTATTTTTCGGCGTACTTAGCAAAACTTGAATTTTGTTTATAATGCTCGCAGCTCGTATTTATCATTGGTATTTATTTTATGCTATATGCAACCCATTTTTGTTGTCAACATGACGGTCTGCAAGGAATAAATGATAGGGAATATCTTTAGTCCTTCAAACGTGAGAAAGTCCTTTAAATTGGTCCTTGAATGTTAGTAAAGTATACTCACAATCATAATATTGTATGATATTTATTGTAAAAAATAGTAACTAATTTATGTTAGGAACATAAATACGTATAAAGTAAATATTTTTTCTCTTAATATATTTAGATAAATATCGAGTATTTAGAGAATTATTATTATAATTTTATTATTTTAAGAAGAAAAGTAATATTTTAGGGATTAAACCGATGATTTAATCAAATTATTTAGATATATAGCTACACGCAGGGAGAGGATGAGGCTAATGTCGCCAAAATGTTGCATTAAATAGGTGTTGAGGTGCTTAGAAGCTCATTCATCAAATAAAGGGTTAGTCATCGCCTCATGGGTGTTGAGTGTGTAGAGAAGTTGATTTCGCTAGCACTAACAAATGTGAAATGTTAGTTATATAACAATTGTATACAATAATTTGTAAAAAAAAATGGTGGGTGGGGGGGGGGGGG